ATAGTACCAAAGTCCACCACTGATGTAACCATAAGGAACAGGTGTGCCACCAACATTGCTGTTGTAAACTCCAGTTTTTGCAGATCATTTTAACTTCTGTATTTTCAGCTCTTGGGAGTACACTGGGTACATTTCACACAGCTGTATATAGACAGACTTTACCACCATTGGTTGTTTGTTATCCTTCGCTTTATAAATCATCCACTGATTTTAAAAAAACGCATTCCAGTTCAACAAAAGCGGGGGAAATCTCTCTCTTTAATAGCACTGTAGCCATCTAGTTGTCATCTCCTCTTCTGCATCTGCCGATCTGGCCTGTGAACCTACATACTGTCAACTTCCATTAAGGCTTTATATTGTGAATCTCTTCACTGAACAAGTACACACATTTCCTATACCTCATTTAAATAAACAAGAGATTATCAGTTGGAAATATAGAATAGGACAACAAATATTCATATGGTCCTCTGTTTATTTAAACACAGCTTTCATTGATTTCACCAGAGAAGGAAAGCTCTTAAGAATCTGATTCATTTGTTGTAAGGGGAGAGTTCCCCCAGTGCAAAAGTTCTTCACATCAGCTTAACACTGATGTGGCAGATCCATGATCATCATAAAACAGAGCTGAACAGAAAACAGAGACCCCTCTTTTCTCTTGAATGCAAAAATTTAGATACTGTTTTGCATGAGTCAAGGAAGCTAACCTCTTAATACAAAAATAAATCATATAAGTAAAAATGAAAGGCTGTTTTTGACTTCTGTGGTAGTTAAAATTGGCATGAAGATCAAATGCTTAAAGACAAAATGTTCTGTTTCCTATCATTTGTCTTTGCTTGAACAAGCACAGCTATTAAAAGAGGAACAACAGCATTTTATATATGCAGACAAACCCAGTGTGTTTGGATTAAGTATTTTATATTACAGTACAGGCACTGAAATCCACATTTCTCCATACTTTTCAAATTTATATTTTTGCAAACAGTATACTTCCCCCTCCTTGCAAGCAGTATAGTATATATGCAAAATCCCCCATACAGTGGTACCTTGGATTAAGAATTTAATTCGTTCTGGAGGTCCGTTCTTAACCTGAAACTGTTCTTAACCTGAGGTACCACTTTAGCTAATGGGGCCTCCTGCCATCGTGCAATTTCTGTTCTCATCCTGAAGCAAAGTTAACCCGAGGTACTATTTCTGGGTTAGCAGAGTCTGTAACCTGAGGCGTCTGTAACCTGAGGTACCACTGTATTTGTACCAACTACTCTTTAAAAAAATTTCACCCCCCTGTTTGTTAGCTTTAAAACCACTGCAGAATCTTGATGAGTGTGGCAGATGCAAGTTGCAGAATTACACACATGTTCAGTATAACTTGGATACACTTCCCCAAGTATAGAACCCCAATTAAGATTCATAGTCTCACTGCTGCCTAACAGACTCTAGGTTGAAATAGCTGACTAATATAATGAGATACTTAATTATTTGAATTAGCAATTAGCATCATGTTGGGGATATTATATTTATTTTAAACACAGTACTAAAACTCAGATAAGAGAAGCCATTTTTGGTATTTTCTCTCACAGTGTAGGAATCTGGAATCTAATTTATCATAGCTGGACATCACAGTCAAAATGGCTTAAAAATAACATGCTCAACTTCCTTTGGTATTGCAGAAGATCCATATGGAAAAGATATACTGGTACAGGTTTAGTTGCAGAGCAACAGTGTCAATTGCCTTTAGTTTTTATTCTCAGTGGCACAACCACAGTATGCTTACCAGGTCCAAGGAAACAATCACCACTTTTAAAGATAACCTTTCTTCCCATTTGAAAGTTCCATTTTCAGCAAGTGAAACATACAGTGGGCTGGTGATGTAGCCTTCGCTTTCAAGCAGTGATTAACTGAAGTTTTACTTAAAACTGTGCAAGATGCAGCAGAGATCTCCTTATAACCCTGAAGTTGTTTACCAAGACAAAATTTCACGGTTTGCAATAAAACTCTTGTTCTCCAGAACACTTTCTCATCTGTGCTGTGAGAATGATGGTAAGTACACCGCGAGTGGGTGGTACAGGACTATGCTGTGTTGCAAACCCTGCCCAGTTTTTGCTCTGGCTCCACCTACTAGCAACATATGACCCCTAACAAACGCTGTCCCCAAGGGAATACAGCCCTCAACCCCACTGAAAATAGCAAGAGCAGGGCCAGCTCAAGACCTGAGGCAAACCCCAAAATGGGGGCCTCCTCCCCACCAGGAAAGACAAGGTGAGTGAAGATCAACATCAGGAACAAGGGAATTAAAGAGCTATCAACACTGCAATCTGCTGCCCCTGGGGACCCTGCCGCCTGAGGCGGTTACCGCACCTTACCTCGGGGGTTTAGCTGGCCCTGAGTATGACACACTTCTAAGCAAGCAAGCATAAGATTGCATTGCAAACAACTTGGTCCCCTGACAAGTTGCATTTTAAAGTTTTGCCTGGCTGTTGCAACACTACCCTTCTTTCTCTGCTAATGCTGCGCTAAGTACTCAACATTGCAAATGTCCTATTGATGCCAGAAATGGCATGCATTCGAAAATATATACCAACTATATAACAAGAGCTGTGTGTATATAAGTAAGATTCTAGATGTTATTTGTTCCCATAGTCTATAGCAGAGGAGCCATTTAAATGTAATCACTAATAAAATAGAAACTTCATTTATAATCATCCTAAGACTTTCAACTATAAGGTTACATATAGCATCAAAATAAATTCCTACACATTTCCCCTTCCTTTATTGCACTGTTAAATGTGTTTACAAACACATTGCCCTTCAAAAGAAGTTGAGTAACATTATAAAGGACACCAGTTCAGATACATAGGATGACTTGCACCAGAGCCACAATACAAGATAATGTGGTCCTGTGTGCATATGTATGGCACATATTTGGAGTAGGTAGCTTCTTAGGAACAAGATAAGCAAGACATTTCAACCCAGACAGCTTAAATTAACAACCAAGTGTATTGTGAAGTCAGCATCCAGAGGCGGAGGGGTCAGTATCAGGTTTAAGAGCTCATACACCCAAAATATTAGGTCTGAAGTTCATTCACAGGCAGAAAGAGCAAGAAAATGGTAGTGAGGTGGTTGTAGAGATGTTATGGTCTGCAGCAGCATTTCCAAACCTAGGCCCTCCAGGCACTTTGGACTACAGCTTCTATCAGCCCCTGCTCACATGGCTGAATGGTTGGCAATGGGAACTGCTGGCTGGTCTGCAGCAAAACTCCTTAAAAATGGCAACTGAGCAAAAGGCACTGGGGGAAACAGATGCAAATGCAGGTTATTTGTAACCAGTTCATAATGAGCACAGTTCGTATGCTCTAAAGAGGAAGGCAGAGCAAGAATCCCCAAAGCAACCAGACGCCTGTGCCTAAGATTGCTTCTGCAAACAGCCTGGCATCCTGGCCACTCGACTGGGGGCTAGAGTCAGCAAAATGTGACCATACCTCCTCTTTGAGAAAGCGAGCTATGTTATATATAATAGGAATGCTGGTAGGTTTCTAGATCCCATTCTAAACTATAACTGGCTTTCTCCTTTTGTCTTCCATAGAAGATTGCTGATTTTTTTATACCATAGTGGATATAAAAGAGCAGTGCCGAAATATTACTGTTACGGAATTATACATAGTACAGATCAAGTGTTATGGAGCAAGAACACTTGGCAACACCTGAATCTTCAGTAGGGCATTTAAGTCCCCTCTGAATCACATGCACATCTTCAAAGCGACTCCCCAAAGGCCTAGGAAAAGATTCCCAGGGGCTTTAGAATGGTATTAGTTCTGAGAAGGGCTTCAGGCTGTAGGAAATGCAATCCATACTGGGGAAGACAAGGGCATCAAACCCTGCCTAAGATTCTCACACCAAATATGAGAAGTGAGCCTATGTAAATCATACCATGCCAACATCTGCCTCGCTGACCTCACAGAGGTTTTTGAAAAAAGGAAAGAAAATAGAAAATAGGTTACACCAGCAACAATTCTGAATGTCATGTTTTGCATTTCACACTCATGCCATTGAAGAAAACTGTTTTAATTTATATTTAAAGTGTTCAGAAAGTCAGGACTAATATTATTAAGTTACAATATCACTTGCATGAAATATTCCAAGAGTGTATCAAGCAACAAACAGAAGATATTGTATACAATGAAGCATTTATACTAACACAACAAGGCACATTAATATTTCCCTGAGAATATTTTAGCCAGTAGGCTTTTGCTGCATCACTTTTGAACAACTACAAAATGTGTTAAGAATACAGCCGACTATTAAAATTTATGCATAAAAATACATTTTGTGGTTTCTATGAAGTATGCTAATACAAAGCTGTTGGCAGAGTTTTAAAAAGCTTCATGGATTTTCAACAAAAGCAGGGTTTAATTATTTGGCTCTAGAGATACTTGCGCAAACTGTAAATGTGAACTCTGCAGAAGTTGTGGCTTTGGAATTTCTCAATTTTCTTTGTATTTGTAAGTATAGTCCTGCTAGACAACCCATGTTCTATCCTATGATGCCTGCTCACTCCTGGCCCCTCCCTCCCTCCTTTCTAATTGCCATTGCTTCATAATTAATTGGGGGGGGGGATGCCCTTTGTAGCTGCACCAAAAAATTGAGAACACTGTTTAGATCTCTAATAAGATTCTTAAAGGCAGGGGAAGCTTTAGTCCAGTTTAACTGTTATGAAGTGCTAATGTTGAAAACCTGAGCTCTTTGTTTCCAATGACCATACCAAATGTTCTGTTGTTGTCTATTACAACAGAATGCATATGATGGGAATCCTTTGGGAACAGCAGAAAACCAAGACAAAGTATGTAGAACAACATAATCAGCTAGTAAACATCCTACAAGGCTTGTTAAAAAAGACCAGCAAGGCAGGTGGAAGAGAGGCAAGAGGTGCACCACACACTTAATCTCTAATATTTTTGACATCCTTATCAGAGGGAAAGGGTTTGTACCATGCAGATGGTTGCACTTTAATGGCTGTGCTGATACAGTGCTTTGTCTCTTAAATACTCCTCCAAGCAGTGAACCGCAAAGGGGTCATAGTCAGTGTCAAACTTGTTGGCAAAGAAGTGGTGTTTTCGTAGCATCCAGTTCAAGTCTCCCACTCCAAAGACACACACAGAGCGGATGTGAATTCCATTACAAGGTGGGTACGGAGCACCCCGGGACACATCCCCCTCAAAGTAATGCCACTTAACAAACCTGGCAAGAGCATTCATGTCAGAGACATCATATTTCTCGCTGGCAGAGACTGCACCTGGAACCTCGGGAATTCGCTGAATAGTAGCCCACAAGTATTCATCAGGACTGTAAGTATCTTTGGCCCATTCTATAAAAGTAAGGATTTTGTTGTTCTCTAGGACATATTCAACAAACCTCCGACTAACAACAAAGTAAGCACTGCCAGAGAAAATGGGTGTATTAAGAGGTGGGCGTTGTTTGTCTATTCCCATATTCTTCACTTTGCCATCAACAACTTCATAATGCTTCTTCCATCGTGTCTCCTTGTTTGAAGGCATTTTCTCGGTTTCCAAACTATTTTCACCCTTGAGAGCTTTTAGTTTCTCTACTATTTCTTGGTTAGTCTTGATAGGAAAATCCATACCACAAAGATTGATCAGGTATTTCCAGCTTGCGCTCCTCCTGTAGAGATCCTTCATGCAGTTGAGGTCTGCTTGCACTCTACTCCACGAAGCATACACTACACTCTCCAACTGGCTGGCAACAAAGACATTGTCAAAACATGAAGCAATCCCCTTCACTGCAGCCAAGAAAGACTCAGGAGACTTCTTATCAACATGAATGCAGTAATAGTTTTGTGGTGCGTAAATCGATCTCAGAAGTCTATCAAACATGTTAATTTTGTGATAAATTACTATTGAATATGCTATGGGAAACTCAGCTTCTTCTTTGCTCAGAGGCTGCATAATATACTTTCGCCTCTTAATAAAGGAGTTGCAGTCTGTTGTCATGTTGATGTAATCATTTGGAGTTAGTTTCAGGCTCTTTTTAAAAGAAACAGTTAAGAGCTCCAACTTCACTTTCTGAATTTCCTCTGGATCTCCCTGCAATATCTTGGAGCAGTTGATGTTACTATTTGGGTATTCATCAGTTAGCTCCAGACGCCCATGATGTATGTAGCTTGGCTTCTGGTGGATTTTGATAAGGGACAAGGTGCCTGCTGTAAAAATCAACACCAGTAGAAACTTGAAGCGTAGGTTATGACAGTGACGAAGTTTCCTTCTCAGCATTTCAGAGTGTGTTTGCAACCTCCCATGCATCTAAGAGACTTTCTTCATACGCATGATCAGGATCCAGCTTCAGAGCCTTCTGTCTGCATTTCTCAGAAGTTCCTAGAATAGTGAAAGTACACATAAATTCTAATGAAAAATTAAATTCTGCATTTTTTATCTGTGTCACAGATAATCTGTGGAATGTTAAAGGTGCAATGCTTATTCACTAGTAGTTCTGTTGTGCCATTGGCATGCCCAGCCCAGGGCCAGTCTAGGGTCAAGGGTAGCCAACTTGGAGCTGTCCAGATACTATGAGCTGCAAATCCAATCAGCCCCAGCCATCATAGCCAATACACAGGGATAATGGGGGTTGTAGTCCAAAACAACTGAAGGGAATCGTGTTAGCTATCTTTGGCCTAGGTTGTTTCTCTCTCTCTATATATATATGGCCACTTTACACATTATGCTAGGACCTCTCAGGAACATTTGTCATCTCATAGTCCTAATTAATTTATAGGAAAAACTTAAGGTATGCTACATCATCTGTTCTGTTTTATATCTGCTAAAATCATAAACATTTTAGTTACAAAATCATTCTAATTATCAATGGCTGAACAACCTTCGGGCTCCTACTGCAAGTTTACAATCTAAAAATTACAGACAGGAAAAGAGGAAGGTAAGTAAGTAAAAAGGAACAACAACTGATTTGATAAGTTTATTATTACATTTATGTTCTGCTTTTCCTCCAAGCCATTCAAGGAAGCATATAAAGTTTGTGTACAGAGCAAGGCAAACAGGTAGTGAGTGGCTCAAGGTTGCTTCGCTTTACGGTTGAATTAAGGACAGTAGAAAATAGAAGATTAAGAAGCTGCTTAAATAAAGACAAAGAGGAAACAAACTTGATATCAAGAGGAACAGACGTCTGAGCACAGGATGCAACAAAAGTGATGGGGGTGGGGAACTTTGACTGGTATTTTAAAATACAACACATGTGGTGATGTGGGAGAGGGAGGTAAGAAAAGAGAAACCAGTGAAGGCGCAAAACTACAGAAAGTCATGCAACCTGACAATAGTTACTCAGAATCCTAATTCTGTTCAGTCGATTTTGCTCTCTAGTAAGCCTACAAAGGATCAAGACTGAGCCAGGTCATTTTGCTGCTAGAGGCAAAAGAAAGAATGCTGACCTCGGCAGCCCCCTTCCCTTAGTCATCACCTGAGGCGACTGCGGGGGGGGGGCTGTTGAGTGAAAGGAGGCCAAAGAGGAGCAGATGGCGAGGGGTCGCAGGGGAGGAGGCAAAATGCTCCTCAGAGGCCAGGTCCACCGCCTCACCCAGCCTCATGGGTGGGCTGGTCCTGCACTGGGGTGGATCTAATGCTGGTCCTGGAACAGACCTGTTGAAATTAATGAACTTAAGTAGCTTAGGTTCATTTATTTCAATGGGTCTACTCTGAGTAGGACCAGCATTGGTTACAACCCAAAGGACTGCAACCCTAGACACAAAGTAGCTGCAGTAGTTTATACTGGATAGAAGCAGTGAAGAGAAACTAACATAGAATTGTTTAACTGATATAGTTTTCAACCTTTCCTTTGATATGTTTCCTTTCATATCCAACTGCAACAGTTGTTGTGGCCAAAAGTCAATAAGCTGCATGATCACATGTTAAGACTGAATCAAGCAAATGGATAACTCCCATGAGTAAAAGTAGTAGGTCAATGATGGATGTAAGCTGGCACAGAAGACCAAGTCCTTTTGTCTAATTAAACATAAATCTGAGATTTCTCATGGAAATAAAATACTAGGATATTTAGAGACAGGCTGAAGTTTTCTGATTTTAAGACACTAAGCAGCTAACAGTGCATTTCTTCAATCTGTAATTATTGGTTTTTTTAAGGTATCCTAGCATTACTTTTGACACCACAGAATTAAACAGTGATTTAAACTGAAAATCTACAAAGAAAGAGAGATAATGAAAGTTTTCTGAAAGCCTTTAACTTAAAAGATGGGTGCTTGGCTAAACATTAATGTTACCTTAAACGAAAGTTTACATTCTTTGGAACCTCTAATTATATTCTTATTGAATCAGTCTGAGAAAAAGATCACTTCTCATCAAGTTCCAGCAGAAGTTTATAGCAAATAAACAATCAGCACAGAGAATGGGGCATCATTCATTTTACCATCAACTCATTTATCTGTGGTAACATACATTCCATGCACATCTAGGACCAGAACATCTGAAAGCAGCCCATGAAGTCCCATTTCTGAAGCTAAACAAATGTGGCCAGAGTGCGAATGGAAGAAGCTGGCAGAAGCTGCCCTGAGTTCTGAGAAGCAAAGGCAAAAATACAGTATTTCACCACATAATCACCACAGACTTTACACTAAATCTGTGATGCAAAAAAGGGGGTGCAACCATTATATGAGGCCCCCGCCTGCGCCATGTTCCATGCCAGACCTCCGGCAGCTGCTTCTGCCCCAGGGGGTCTGTCTGGCTGTTCAGATTATTGCTCCTCCACCCTTGCCATCTTCATCCCAGACCACAGAGGTGGTGGCAGTGAGCAGCTTCTGGTCCCTGAGCCCACACCTGCCCTCTCGCTCACGTTCACCGCCCCTTTCATGGCAGATGATTTGGAGACTGGGGGAGGGCTTATTCAGCAACCCCATAAAGAATCCTCCACTCCACAGCTTCAGATCCAACCTCCCCCTCCCTTCGCTTTCATGTGACAGGTCCTTTGTTTCCCACCCCAACCTGCTGTCTGGCCTCTGGGAGATGATCAATATGCACCTAGAGGTGCCTGAAGGTTCTGCTGGGGGCAGAGGCAGACAAAGGGGTCATGGACAGGTGTTGGAGGTGGTTGCTCACCGGCTGCTTTCCCTTCTTGGGTGACGTATCCCGGGCCGCCAACGCAGAACCCTCGTCGTTCTTGTGCTGCTCTTCAGGCAAGGCAGAGCAGTCCCGTAGCAGTTCCTGGCCGTTTGCCAGATGCCCAGGGATGGCCTGGGAGCTTATGGCTGAGACGGCGAGGAACGAGGGGAGCAGGGTGGCAGCTGGGGGAGGAAAGGAATTTACCATGCGACTCAACCAATTTTTGGACCGAAAAAACAGAGTGTGGCAATTATGTGGTGGTGACAATTATGCAGTGAATTATGGTACAACTTTCAGACTTGGGATGTATAAGGTTTAATTACAGAAACTGACTAACACGTTGAAGTTTGACCTCTTTTTACACCCCACTGCCCCTTCCTCCTTCTTTCTTCCTGAACAGCAATCAGGGTTCACCTTTGTTTCGCCCCAGCCAACATCCTGAAGAGACCACTGTGTCAATTTTCCAGGCAGAAACCTGTAAATGATGAACAAAGTCCTGGTTAACGGTCTTGGCTGGAGTTAGTGCCATGAAGTCCACACTGTTCAACTCCCTGCTAGCAAGGTAAAGAGAGATTGATGAAAGACTCAACTGTTGCTACAGCACATAAAAAGCAACCTGGCTATATTAATGCCCCCCCACCCTGCTAATTTATACTGACTTCACTACCACATTCTGCATACTTTGGGTTTAATTCTGATGACAAAGATGAAACACAGAGACGCCAATCTAATTTGGCCTTCCTTGTAATCTCCCAGCAATGTCAAGGCACAGACAGGAGTAAGGACCCCAAGGTACATCCTGTAAGAAATAAAATGGGTGTCTGCTCATAGAAGAATACTTCATGGGGGAGGGGGAATGTGATTTTTACAGCAGCATGTGAAAGAGCAGGTGGTCTGATGTTTCAAGAAGGCAAGGAAACACCTAGCAAAAGATTTGAGTCACAGGATAGAACATTGTAAGTAAGTAGAAAATTGGAAACTGATCTGCTTACCAAGTAGTGTTCACAGATTTTGCCTGTGGCAAGTGACATGCTCTCTTTGAAATTCTGGATCTCCTAAGTCAAGAACAGGGTGTGCATTCTGCTTCACACATAACTAGAGAATCTGCAAGAGCAGAACTGTAAGTCACGTGCTCTTCTGTGGCTTCTGCTGAGCTTTCAGGCCCAGTTTCAGAGCTTACCTCATGAACATGGTGTTATAACTGAAGGAAGACTAATGCCATCTTGAGCCAAACAGTTCCCACTTGGATTTCAGTAATCATGCTGAAATGCAAGCTTAAGAGAAGAACAGAAAAATAGCAAAGAACAGGAAAAGATATAAAGGAAAATTATAGAAGCATGCCAGGGCATAACATTCTATGAAGAGGAAAATGGCATCTGTGGTTAAGCTAGCAGTAAGACCATATCACTGGGTGTCTTGCCTATATATGATGATAAAAGGAGAGTGTAAACAGAGATTGAGGTTCCACCCTCTGATCGCTTTCCTGGTTGCTTGCTGTAACCTTTCCTGCTTGGGCAAGAAATAAAACTTTGCTTTTAGAGAGTTCCCAGGTGTCACTCATCATTGCTCGTGAGTAAAGGACTTGGCTGTGCAATGGACCTTGGCTGGAGTTTCCTCACATCGGTGGTGGCAAGCAGGCAACCAGGGAAAGACCAACAGAACACATGAGGATTAGGAGGCTCCCCTGGCACTTTTGTCTTTAGGTGCCAGGAAAAAACATTCCTCTTCTCTCAAGCCTTTGGCTGATTAAAAAATCTATGGCCTTTTAAACTGTGTGTGAGGAGGGTTATTGCTTTTGCTACTGTGGTATGTGTTTTTGTGTTATATTGTAATTCCTGTGATCCTTAGATGAAGAGTTGTATAGAAATGAAGAAGCAGCAGCAGCAGCAGCAGCAGCAGCAGCAGCAGCAGCAGCAGCAGCAGCAGGAGGTGGGAAAAAGCTGAATGACCATGATTCTGCAAGTCACAGGGCTATGCAGGATAAAAATGGGGTTTCCAAAGACTTTTAAAAGGATTGTGTTCTGTGCTTAAGCACTCCCCAAATGTTGTGTTGCTGCCACAAACTTGTTTGGTCCACCATACAGAAAACCATGCAGCCTTGGACACTGTCAAATCTTTCATTCAGTTTGGGTTCAACAGCAAACTCCAACTCACATGGCATAGTAAGATATATACGGTACTAAGCCTGCAACATGCTGGACCTGAAAGGCATTTAAATCTGAGCTTGCATTTTAAGTATGACTAAGAGAGAAAACATTGGGTGTGTATGTGTATGTCTGCCTACTGACAATAATGCTTCGCCACTGTTGGAGTGGACAATGCTTTTACATTTTTAAAAAGAAGTGGCTACTCTTTAACACATAGTGGATCTTGATTTTTCATGTTAAAAGATGCAAAAGAGTTCAGCAATAACAAATCCAGCATCAAGATTTTTAGTTCGGCTTAGCATGACTGAGCGAAAGTACAGGTTCTGTGAGTGAAGACTGAAGCTACAGCATGACTTCTCTGGTCCTGGTGCTGCTGCTGCTGCGCTACCCAGGGCTGTGTTCTCTTCAACCTGGGGCTCGTGATCTGTCTTACTCTGGACAAACCATGGGCTGTAACCATCTGTGGTTTGTCTGCGGGAAACAAACCACAAAGACAAGTTCAGGCATAATGCTAAGTTGGTCACACAGAATATTGATCTAGATAGGCCTTTGGTCTAATCATGTCATCAGCCTAGTAAAATGCCAAAGAGAAGAACAGTAGCAACACAATGGATGTGGAATTTTAAGCACTGTTAAAAGGTTTTGAAAAAAATGACCTTAATAAAGAAATGATAGAAAAGCAGGAGAACCACTACATTTCCTCCTAGTAGACTATGGATACCTATAGTCTACATCCTACGTTGTCCTACTCACATAGGTGATGCAATTGATGTAAAATCCTTCTTGTCCAGTTCTTGACCAATCCTCCCCTCACTATTGCTCCCTCCCTCCCTCTTTCCATACTGCTGTCTATCAAACTCCTATTCATGTGCTCTTCCCTCTGGCTGGGTAACCATAAACTTCATTGCATAATACAAAGTCTGCTAGAAAACTTAGAAATTAGGATATGCTGTGGAAATTAGAAGTGCTGTTTGAGAATCAGATGGGTAGAGGAACTTAGAAAGAGGCCAAATCTTCTGTTTGGATGATTGATGGCTTTGTCAATGCAATTACAACAGCAATCTTATAAGTACTATATTGCTATCTTACTTTGAATCAAACTGTAGTGATATAGAGCAAAGTTCAGACTAACAGTGTGGTGTAGTGGTTAAGAGCGGTAGTCTCGTAATCTGGGGAACCGGGTTCGCTTCCCCGCTCCTCCACATGCAGCTGCTGGGTGACCTTGGGCCAGTCACACTTCTCTGAAGTCTCTCAGCCCCACTCACCTCACAGAGTGTTTGTTGCGGGGGAGGAAGAGAAAGAAGAATGTCAGCCGCTTTGAGACTCCTGAAGGGGAGTGAAAGGCGGGATATCAAATCCAAACTCTTCTAACATTATCTTCCATATGAAGAAATTATGTGCTTTGAATGAAGCACCATACAACTGATTGATTTGTTTCAGTTACAGTCTTAAATCTGTGGTCTTTATCACTGGTCATTCTTTATTCCCTGACTTTCTGGGTTGTTAATGAGTGACCCCTGATTAGATAACCACATTAAACATAAGACTGTTCTTTCTTGCCTTCTCTTGCATTGTTTTCCTGTGTAGGATTCACTCTGGGAAATGAATCAGTGGGACCTTCATGGTGGAACTATTCTCCCTCCTCCATATCTTTTTAAAGAGGGACAGATAAGGGGTGCCAAAAAAAAGAAGATTGCTGAAAACAAAAACCATACTTCTAACATTATTCCCTGCCTATGTGTAAACCACACCTCAGAGATACCGGCTAGTTTAATCAGGAATCAGAATGAAGTCACCTGGTATTAATTCAGCTGCAATCAACATAGCCAATGGTCAGAGGTAGTGGGCGTTGCAGTTCAACAACATCTGGACTCATCATATATTCTCCAACCCTGGAAAGTGTGACTAGGATACCACAGGTCCTGTGTTAGCCTGACTCATCATCTTTATCAACGACTTGATGATAGATTTAGGGCATCTGACGTTTACAGATGACACAAATGCAGAACTGTAGCTACACCAGAAGACAGGATCATGTCTTTAAACTACCTTGACATAATAGAGACTGGCCAAATTAATAAGACGAACTTAACAGTAATGAGATTGCACTTGGGCAAACCATTATAGTTCAATATAAGATGAATGATACCTGGCTTGAGAGCAGTACATGTGAAAAGGATCTAGGAGTCTTGGTTGACCACAAACTTGACATGAGCCAACAGTGTGACGCGGCAGCTAAAAAGGCCAATGCAATTCTGGGCTGCATCAATAGGAGTATAGCATCTAGATCAAGGGAAGTAATAGTGCCACTGTATTCTGCTCTGGTCAGACCTCACCTGGAGTACTGTGTCCAGTTCTGGGCACCACAGTTCAAGAAGGACACTGACAAACTGGAACGGGTCCAGAGGAGGGCAACCAAAATGGTCAAACGCCTGGAAACGATGCCTTATGAGGAACGGCTAAGGGAGCTGGGCATGTTTAGCCTGGAGAAGAGAAGGTTAAGGGGTGATATGATAGCCATGTTCAAATATATAAAAGGATGTCACATAGAGGAGGGAGAAAGGTTGTTTTCTGCTGCTCCAGAGAAGCGGACACGGAGCAATGGATCCAAACTACAAGAAAGAAGATTCCACCTAAACATTAGGAAGAACTTCCTGACAGTAAGAGCTGTTTGACAGTGGAATTTGCTGCCAAGGAGTGTGGTGGAGTCTCCTTCTTTGGAGGTCTTTAAGCAGAGGCTTGACAACCATATGTCAGGAGTGCTCTGATGGTGTTTCCTGCTTGGCAGGGGGTTGGACTCGATGGCCCTTGTGGTCTCTTCCAACTCTATGATTCTATGATTCTATGAAATGGTACTTTCAGGAGCAAAGAGGCAGTTGGGGGAGGAAATTGGTGCCAAGTGTTCTGATTTTAATCAACACCATACTGGGGGCCAGTGGCTGCTTTACATTAAAAAGAAAGAGGGTGAATTAAAAAGCCTTTTAAAAATATTATTAAATTAACATGTGGTTTGACACACACTCTGCCGAAAAAGAGATACAAGTTCAAAATAGAGGGCTCTGTGTAACCGTCCTGAGACCTACAGGTATGAGCGGTATATAAATTCAATAAAATAAAATAATAATAATAGGTGAAGTTCACTTTTATAAATGATATTCGATACATAACTTTTCACTTTAACTTCCACGATAGTCAAGCTTATACAGAAGGAACCATTTAAAAAATGCAGTAGGAGAACCAGAAGAGAGCCACTATGGTATATCTGGGGCCAGGGATATCTTTGCCCAAATCCCTGTTAAAGCACAAAGTGAACTGGGTGACAATGAATACTAAGACATAAAACAAAGTTTTTTAAAAATGGGACTGGGATTGCTTGGGAAAGCATTAAAACAGGTATATAATGTGAAAGGAACCAAACACGAGCTGGACTGATGTGATCAAACTCGTTGTCAGAACTTACAAAGTTCTTACTTCACCACCAAAAGCTTCACACCCCCCCAAGCAGTGCCATTGGAGTGTTGGGTGGGGTGAAATTCTAGACCTGCAGCTTTCAATATGCAAAGTCCAGCTTCCCTCCTGGTCATTCTTGTTATATGGTGTCCTAAGTAATAGTTGCAACAGTTTGGAGACAGTTTCACAGAAAGTCAGTTTCCCAGAAAGCCAGATGAGCCACAAGTAACAAGATGAAAGGAGAAGAAAATGAGTCAAAACTTGAAGAAACAGAATCAAGAGTAGCCAGAAAAAGATAAAGACAGTGACAGAAGCAGAAAGGAATAAAAGGAAACTAGATCATGAGTCTGGAAGGTCCTGAAAGAAATTATTCCTAATGACCAGAAACTGGGAAGTACATGAGGTCGGAACAACGTCAAAAATATGCAGTCTGCATGTGAGAAGAAAGTCTATACATGTAAATTCTCTATGCAGGCAGGGGGAGGGAAATCATCCAGCCAGCAACAGCAAACTCAGGATCTCCCACCCCTCAGGTGAGTAGGAGAAGCATGCCAGAGCAGAAAGTGGATCCCAAGACCAGAATTCTAGTCTCTATGTGTAGGTAGATGGGTACATTGTAGTCTCCAAAAAAGAGGAATAGATCAAAATATTCCCTTTCTGAATTCAAGGAGAAAAGACCAAGGGTGAAAAGAAGTGCAAAACATGTTTTCTTTTATAAACAAGGAGAAAAATGACACTGACCAGAAAAGAAAGAAAGAATAAACAGGATGTAGTAAAGACAGAGGAAAACATACATAGAATCATAGAACTGTAGAGTTGGAAGGGACCCCTAGGGTCATCTAGTCCAACCCCTGCACCAGGAAACATGACAAAATATACTTACACATTCCAATGTCATTTATGCACATATCACAGAAGAGAAAGATGAGTAGCTCTTAAAACAGCTAGTTATCATATTTGAGAACTGATGTTACCTTGGCAGCCTATTAAAAAACAACTATAGTGCCCACCATTAAACTTGAGGATGAAATATGCACTCACATAATTTTATGTCCAGGAACATTAGAACAAACCAGTTTGAGAGTACACCTTGTGGAAGAAAAAGGAAATTGCCACAAATCAACATGGTTTAACAAATTATTATTACAGACAGCAGAGACATTCTTGGTAAGGAATTGGTTCCAGCTAATTAAGGAAATGCAATTAATTTTGTTGTACTTTTAAGGTAGACCCGGTACAAGTTGTTGTTGCTGAAGTGAAATGTGGATTAGACAGTGCTACTATAAAACATATAAACAGCTGCCTAAAAGACTGCATGCAAAAGGTATTAGGAATGGAAAAACAGTGAATAATGCTGGTCAGTGTTTTCATTAAGTGCTGCTGATAACACACTTTTAACATGAAACAGAAAGAAGGACTCAAGAGATAAGACTCTGATTTCTTAAAGACTGAAGAGCTAGCAGTGACTGAAAGAGAGTTAAATTCTTTAGGCTACAGTCCCAGCCTCACTCTTTGATATAGCAGAACTTATTTGTGAATAGACACGACTAGGATTGCACTATCAGTGTAGAGTGCAATCCCTAGAGTAGCCATGCAGGATAGTCTGGCATCCTCAAATTGCACATGGCCAAGGGCTTATACAGGCAGCAACAATTTTAGGTACATCCAGTTGATGCGCAATTGCCAACATGCGGGTCCTTTTGGACCTGGAAAGGGGCAGAACAGAACGGGGTGGGGTGGGTTGGCATGGTTATATATGTTCTGCGGACGTGTGTAGGGGCCAGGAGCAGAACCCCTGTGCAAAATGATCACCACCTGTAGTAGCTTGACTTAACAGTGACTTGCCCTTGACTCCTCAGTTTTGCTTATGGCTGAGCCAATATTTGAGCAATATTATTCCCAGATCATGCTTTGAATATGCTTCAATATAGCTAGTAACAAACTAGCAGGAAACTTCCTTATATCAGACCACTGGCCTATCTAATTTAGTACTGTCTACACTCAAGGCAGCTCTCTAGGGATTCAGATAGGGTCTTTCTCAGTCATTCCTGAAGACTGAATCTGTAATCTTCTGCATGCAAAGCACATGATCTGCCACCAAACTGGCAATTCTTGAAATATTGAGGATTACAAGAGAAAACTAAAATCCTGTTACTATATGGTAAAAAAGGGAGGAAATACAAAGGTAGGTTTTACTGACAGAATAATGACTTATACATAATAGCATAGTAAGACTGCACTGATTATGACCTTACACAGCATAGCATGCACTGTGAGTGTGATTTAAGTGGTTACTCACAGCACTATGGGATCATTTCCTGTGCCATCTTCTGTTAGTATACTTAACAATATTTGTATATAGAATCCATAAGGGTGAGGGAAATTATAGGGGTCCTTCTCAGCTGGGAGGCAGGGCACCCATAAAATGGTGAAAAGACATCACTGACGGCATCCACGCAGGAGAGGCAGATTTAGGGGAGTGCAACTGGTTCAGTCATACTGGATGCAGAGCCTTGGGGCCACCACCAGGGATGCCACAATTATGATTTAGAATGGAGTGCGACAGGCGGAGGGGCGCTGAATTTTGGTGCTGTACAGGGCACCGCTGAAATTTAAGACCCCAAGATCCACCACTGCACACAGGGACAGATCAAAGCCATGAAGGTGCCTGGGATACGGCCATAGTAATAGAAATCTACACAGATAACATTTTGTCATAATTAATACTATGGCAAGGAGTTCTGTAGGATCTTTTTGCCTCTTTGAATTCCAAAATGAATTCAGAAGGGAAGATTATGCACTGTTCCTTCAAGCTGGTGAGCATTTGCTTACGAACTTTCCACAACTAAAAGATGTCCTGGTTATTATTAGTATTCATTCTTCCACAAACTAAAAGAGATAATTTCCAAAGAATGATGGCTACTAATTGCTCATTCCCGTTTGGCCTGGGCCAGTCAGGGTCATGTAAAGAAGGACAGCTTCTGCAAGATACCACACCATTGTTCTAAAAAGAATGTGACTGGAAGTGCCAAAGAAAAGTTCTTGCAATGGGGAAAAGCTCCAGGGAACTCTTGCAAACATTGCTCTTGCTTGAGACAAATAAGATTATACAGACTTGAAGTTTATGAATGCAGCGGAGAACAGTCATATAATAAAACAGCACGACAATATAACCTCCTTTAAAAGGCAGTGTTTCAGAAGGGTATTTGTTCATTGTGAAAAACTGGGTGGGACCAGACAGCAATCATAAACTATGCAGCACTGTTACTGATCATCCCTTTGTGATCTTGCACAATATTTGTATTCATAGAATTCTTCCCTGTGGGGGACTTCCATTAAGCCCTATCGCTGTTCAGTCTCCCTTCTTGCCTATGGGGCTTGCTTAACACCCTGACAGGAGCTCCACTGAAACAGATGGTGGCTGTGTAGCAGGAATGAGATGACAATCAAGGCTTCCACTGACACCACCTTATTAAAGTTCCTGAAAAGAAACCCAAGCTTACCCTGACCATCCCGCGATGGCAGGATAATTACTTCTTACAAATTAAAAAGGAAGAGAAGAGAATAAGTGAATTTTAGCAGAAAGGATAAACCAGCCAAGAGCTACCCAAAACAGAAAAGGCCTTTGTGCCTCGGCACAACAGCTTCTATGTTCTTGGCGAGCCTGAAATCTGTTACCTCCAGCCTTATTTAGAAGACCTGTTTGGAACAGCACAGATTCCAAATGGGCCACTCACACCCCTGTTTAAAAGCCACCAACCCCTCCTCTTTCTTTTAAACAGATATCCTTTTCAGAACACCCTAGAAAAGGAGGCCTGAGGCCAGATCAATCCTGAATTGCCTGCTCATCATAAATAGCCACAGATAGTCAATGGGGAATAGCTAGGTATCTGCTGCCCTTGAGCACCAGGGATGCTATTTAAGACTGGGGGCTTCAGTTGATGGGAAGTAAGGAAACAGTACAAGTAAATAAATAATTTTTAAAGCATGTTTGTTTACGCACATGCACATTTCAAGTTAGCACACAACTTTCCCACAAGGTAGTGAAGTAGTCAGTCCTCAAGAAAGTCGCAAGAAAACTTAAACAGAGAACTTCCACCACTTTTGTACTCTGAAGGTTTGCACAATATTTTTAATAGGCTGGAAATGTGTCAACCTCTTTGTCCAAGAGTGTTGCATTACAGATCAAACAGAATCATTCAGCAGCTGCAGCTGCATTTTTTTAACAACTCCTCCTGAAATACCTATGTGAAGGTATGTTTTAAAAAAGAACGAACACATATTCAACATGCTTCAGGATCTTCTGGATAGCTTTTAACTACACTCATGCAACTTAAATTACTTTCAATCATATTTGCATTTAAATTAAGTAATCAGCCCTGATGAAAGCTGCCAAATCATCAGTAATAAGGGCAAGAACATCGTTTATGGTGTGCAATTGTACCTACCTTTGTTTTACCAGTTACATTGTTCTAAATAATGGGTTAGTGTGTCCACAGTCCCAAATCCTTCTGGCTAATTTAAAACAAAAACATAATGGCGATCTGACCAATGCCAATTACACTGCTCTAAATTTACTCCCCTCTCCCCCCGCATTTTATTCTACATGCCAGTGGGGAATCACAGGCAAAAAGAAGTGTGTGGAGCAAGTGATGCAACTCTACCTTTTGTACAGGAGGCTATATTCCAGGCATGTGCAGGTGAAAAGTTTCTACATACGCATACACACCCCAAAAAACCCCCACATTATCTCTCCAGGTTTCATCCAGATAACATCACAGTTCAAGGTGACATTTCAGCTAGGAAAGAGTCCTTGAAAAGGTCACACAGCAGGGCCAGTGAAGCGTGAGGTCTGAGGAGACAGGGGCTGGAGAAAGTCCAGAGGGCTGGACAGAGAGGCTGGGTGGATGGAGTATATTTGGTCCCTGGGCTTAAGATTGCCCACCCCTGCCCCACAGCATTCTACACAGGGCAAACAAAGCAGATGCCAAGCAAAGAACAAAACAAATCCAAACCTGACATAGGCTTAGATCAGGGGTCAGCAAACTTTTTCAGCAGGTTTCAGCAGGTCCACTGTCCCTGGGGGGCTGGGCTATATTTTTTTGGGGGGGGGAGAACGAATTCCTATGCCCCACAAATAACCCAGAGATGCATTTTTTTTAAAAAAAATCACACATTCTACTCATGTAAAAACACCAGGCACGCCCCACAAATAACCCAGAGGGGCATTTTAAATAAAAGGGCACATTCTACTCATGTAAAAACACGCTGATTCCTGGACCGTCTGCGGGCTGGATTTAGAAGGCGATTGGCCGGGATTCGGCCCCCGGGCTTAGTTTGCCTACCCATGGCTTAGAACCATATTTAGAGGCCTGAGGGGAAACATTTCAACCTCCCAGTACACTGGTTTTAAGAGGCTGTTTTTCATGCAAATAACCTCAAAAGAGAGATTTTCCAGCATTGAAGGACAAAATTATGGTATCACCTGTGGTGTGAATAGTTCTCATTAACATGTGTTAATTAGCTGACCAAGGTAAAGGCATCAATATGCTGTGTGAATGCTCACTGGTCTTATTTTACATATATTTAAATTTCAATGTTAATTGTCAGTTTACTTTTTTACACAGTAATTTCTTCAGACCTCACAATATGAGGATGGTAGACCTACAGCCATGTGCATATATATTCTTGCTGACTTCAGACAATACATACATCATGCATCTCACAAAGTGGCCCCTAGTCCATGAAAGTTGATGTTATGATAAACCTGTTAGGCAGCAATCCTAACCCTACATACCTGAGTGCAGGTCCCACTGAATTCAACAGGACTTAATTGGCTAGGGTTGCACTGTGAGTTGCTAAAGCTGACTGCCTTGTTGATACCTCTTCAGAAATCATTCAGCAATGTAGGGCCTGAACTGAAATTATGCCGGCAGGAACATCAAACAACCCATATATGAACTCAAGCAAAACAATTACAATATTTGGGAGCGGGAAAGACATCCTGCTGTTAAACCAGAAATCCATTTTTGAAACTTTTCTCTTTCAAAGGAGCCACTTGTCTCCCCAGTGTTCCTTTGCCAGCTGATAACGACTCTAGTTCTAAGAGATACTGGCAAGGAGTTAACGTTTAACAAAGCCTCACAGCCATTTCCGAGCACACCATTTGCACCCAGTTCCCTTTTCTTTTTAGCAGGAATTCCTCCATGAAAGCGGCTTCCCCTCCGCCCGCTTCAAGCCCAAAGGCAGAAGCGAAGCTTGTCTGGAACGCACCGTCTTACCTGTATAACCTTTCCACTGATAATCATGAACGTGTGGAAGAGCTTTTTAGAACTGAATGCCTGAATCAGATCCCTCCCCCCCGAACACGTGAAGCTCGGGTGCAGCAAGCAAGAAGATGCAAAAGAGCTGAGGATCGCACCTCCCTCGCCCGCCTAGCGCAACCCGCTGCGCGCCCACCTTGTTCCGCGCGGCTCATTCCCTGGCGGCGCCTGGAGGAGAAGGCGCACGTTCAAGTCCGATTCGTTTCCTTTCTGTGCGGAGGCGGAAGCGCGAGCTGCCCCGCGAGGAGAACACGAGTTGCGCGGCAAAGGTAGCAAGCCCTCCCCGAAGTCAGCCGGCCGCGAGTGGCGCGCATCCTCGGGAGACGCCAGCCCAGAGCCAGGAGGGCGAGGCGCCCGGCTCCCCGCTGCACCTCGCCTCTGGCTCTCGCTTCTGGCTCGGAGGCGCCTCCCTCCGCCACCAGCTTCCCCCTCCCCGGGCCTGAAAGCCCCTCCCCGCCCAGGAGCCCAGAGAGCTGCCTTGCGCGCGCTCCTGGCCGCGGAACCCTCCAGGCGCGCCGCCGCTCCCGCCCAGCTACCTGCCGCCGCCGGGAACCCCGCGCGTGGCCGCCTTGCGCCGAAGCGGGGCGGCAATCCTGCGCGCACTTGCCGACCGAGCGCCTCCAAGGGGGCAGCATTTCCTCTTACTTCTATCGCGGCTGACAACACCGTCGCAGCGAACACGGAAATACCGTTAGAACGAAGCCTTAAACAACAACACCCGAAATAAAAGAGCAACAATAGATTCCGCCAGCTGTGCATTAAATCGCAAATGCCTGCTGGGCAAATGGAGCGGCTTTTACCTTGTGCCTCAAAGTGGCCATTGCAGGGGGAGAACAATGTCAGGCCGAAGAGAGGGCACAATCTGGAGGCTCCTTCCACCTGTGCTGCGCCTTGTGTTGCCACCTGGCTAGCAACGCTACTGTTGGGGCAACAAGAAGGGCATCTCTGGTTGATCTTAGTGGTTAGGTGGGCACTGGTGGTTGGTGCCCATTGGGCAGGCAGTTGGAAGCACAGGCAGAGCCGCCCACCGACTGGTTGTAAGAAGGCTGGCAGGTAGAGGCTGGCTAAGGTTGTTGGCATGCTGCCCCTTTCATCCTAACAGCATTGCCCCACCTTCAGCCTCTGCTGAAGGTGGGGCAATACTGGAGAAGGTGCTCCTTCAGCTACCTGGGCTCAAAGTCATTAGGGGCACAATAGGACCAATACTTTGAATCGGGTCCAGTAGTTCACAGACAACCATTGCAGAGATGTGATGATCAGAGTAATATGATCTCCTCTCTCCACTCCAGATACCAGCCAAGCGTCAGTATTCTGCAGCTTCTGGACAGTCTTCAAGGGTAGCTCCACATACGATATGTTGCAGTAATCTAAACAGGAGGTTATTAGCGCTTGAGTAACTGAGGTGAAGCTGCCCCAGTCCAGGAACAACTGTAGCTGGTGAACCAGCAGGAGGCAGGCAAAGGTAGTTCTTGCCACTAAGACACTTGAATCAAGAAGTAGAGGCAGATTTAGGAGAGCACAACTGGTTCTCCTGCACTGGGCCAAGAGGGCACCGCAGGGGGTGCCACAACAATGAGTTGGAACAGAAGACAAGAGGCAGGGATTGCCTAATTTTGGCATCACACAGGGCACCACTGAAATTTGAAAGCAAGGAGTGCCAGCAAGCTATGAACCTGGTCTGTTGGCAGGAGTGCTATCCCAGGTCACATCAATTCTCAGGATTCAGCTGCAGCCAATAGTGATAAAAAAAGAAGTCCATAAACTACCAGTATTTGCTCTTATTGTAATAGCACCATCACTGTACAGCAGGGAACCCTCCAGATGCTGTTGAACTCTATCTACCATCAGCCCCAGGCAGCAGAGCCAATAGCAGGGATGATGGGAATTGTAGTCCAAGAGCACCTCAAGCTTAGCTTCCTGTACCATACAAAATGCCCTGGGAAGCTGAACAGTTGAGAAATGTTTAGTATGCACAGAGTTCATGAATAAAATACCTTTACTTTTAGTTCAGTGACCTGAACCAATTGACCTACTGTAGGTATGTTTCTCACAGACATAATGATAGTGAAAGCTTCCCCAGCCTACTGAGATCATTCCAAGTGAAGATCATACTGGAAATGCTTTATGTGAAACACTTCCCAGAATTTTTCAGTATCAGGATGCAGCTTGAGTTGGTTTGGCCACTGCTGCACAAAAATATTTTGTGGAGAACTTTTCCTGTCTAAAGGGTGGCAGGAAAATCTATTTAACCATCTAATTTGGCAAGGAAAAACAGGATAGCTTGGATCCAGAGTTGTGCAATTCTGTATATGTGAGAAAATGTGTATGCAGGATCACTGGGGCAGTGCCGCACAGTTGCCATCCTGGCACCAGTGTTGCTGCTACTTACAGGGGTGGGACAGGGTGGTGGCAAGGTCAGGGTGGCACCCCAGGGGAGCCACCCGGGCACTCTTGCCAGCACACCCATGCAGCAGCACCCACTCGCTGTCCAGGTTAGCAGCAGTCATGCTGGTGTTGGGAGGGTGACCGCAGAAGCACCCCACTGTGCCAGCTGCTTCTGTGTGCATGAACGTCTGTGTGTGGATGTGCAGGTGGGGGGTCATTATGAGAGATGCCCCCCCCCACTTTTGCATTGGTCTGGACCATAACTGTCATGCAACCCATGTTTCTCCCTCTCCCCCATAGGTCACCTACAAGGAGTTGCATCCACGTCCCTGGCTTATGCTTTTAGCCTTTACTGCAATGTTTTCTTGGGATGGTAGTCATGCCTTTATTTTTTCAGGGCTCCTTTTTATGTACAACTGCATGATAGGGGTAAAGACAACAGGGACAATTTTTTAATAGCATGGAGATGGGAGATATGGAAAGCTTCTGTCTGTTAAAGTTGATCTAAAAAATTGTGATGGCCCTACTTCTAGTTTATGCTTTATGCTTCTAAGTTGTGGTCACTTGGTTGCTGAAGGCAACACAATGACTGGTGTATTTTGGGACACTCTGATGTGTGCTACCAGTGGCTTCTGGCTGCATCAGAGAAGGAGGTGGGAGGGAGTCCAAGGCTTGCTGTAGCTTGTATTGTAATACTAAACCTGGGGTGGGGAACCATTTCCACCCACTATCAATCCCCTGATGTCACCAGACAGACCATGAGGGATTAATTGCTAATTCATTCTGGGAAACATAGTACTGTGAAGGGAAGGGGATCTCCCAACAATTTTCAGCACCCCAAACAAACTGCAGTTCCAAGGATACTTTAGACTATGATATAACAAATTGTATGACAGTGCTTTAAATGTCTGGTGCAGGTGTGTGCTGAAGGCAGAGGGCCCTTCTCCACAATTCTCCTTCAGCAAAGAACCCCCTTGTGTGTTTTAAGTGTGACATGAGGCCAGAGTCATTATAGCCCCAGGTAGCACATCTTACCGCCTGACATGTGTCTCTTTATATCCAGGTGTTGGTGTACTCTGACTGGGTACAGAGCTATACCAAATTTTATAAGTTGTTTTGTTTTGTGGGCAAAGCAGTAAGAGATTTTCATTTTGCTGTTTCCCCCCTCACCACTGAGCTCAATAGGTGAACTTTTCCTTATGCCCGCTCTATAGACATCTTAATGTTGTTAAGGACATGGATGGGGTCTGAAGTGTATAGCATTTAGCATCAGTCTGCTCCTTCTATGTCCTGTACACATCTGTGTCCCATTTTGGTTGCTACACTGGCACGGTTGTGTTGGTGACACAGACACACAAGGATAGTTCTTGTGCCAGCATTAGTAATGCCAACTTTGCCAGCATAGCAGGGAGCTTCTGCCATATGGCCTGCAGGTCCTCTGCCGGCACATCCTGATTAAAGGATTGTGCCCTAAAAACTTGTCTAGAGAAATTCCATCAAGTTAAAGAAAGTGAGCCAGTTCTTTAAGCACTGGAATTTCCTGTAATGCATCTATCATTAATTATGCAGGAGAATTTCAGAAATGAATGTGAGCTTTAAGAGTTACAGGACATTACATTACACAAATATGCTTTCTGGCTCTGCAAGTCTGTTTAACCTGGCTTGCTTTCTGTTTGGGTCAACAGTTGCCAATAATATAGTCCCTTGCCTGTGGGTTAAATGCTTACTTCCTGGAAAAACTAGATACAGAGAAATAGAAGGGTTGCATTAAAACTCTCTTTGGTCACCACTGGAAAGTCATGCTAGTTGTGGATCTGATGGAGGCCCAAGGCATCCTTGCTTCAATCTTTGAGACCTTGATTATGTCCCCTTTAACCTCAGTGCTTAACCTAGATCAAGGTGTAGCCAGGATTTTTGTGGTGAGGGGAGGCTTTTGTTAGGGGGGATCAGAACCTCAGATTTGTATTGATTTTGATTTATTTAGGGGGGGCAGCTGCCCCCCGCCTCCCCTCAGCTACGCCCATGACTGAGCTGCAGAGTAGTTAAAAGAAAGTTGGCTCAGTTACCACTGCTGCATATCCCTCCTCCCCTTGACTTGCCTCTCTCCCTCACTTCTGTGGGAATGTTCTGGGGTGCAGGAGAGGATATATTGACTAATTATATCCTTATCCAACTTGTGCTAACAAGTTCCCAAAATATCAGCAGAGTTTATAAACATTCCCCTTTAAGTTCGCAACGGTAACGTGTGCACAGGTTCGCTAGAACCTCTATAATAATTACTCTGGTAATTTCCCCTTTTGTTCCCTCTTAAAATACAAGATACAACACAGTCTTTATAAAAGTATAAAAGAGTGTACTCACGTTCTGTTCACAATATGATCCCAGAAGGCAGACAGCTTAAAAAAGGTTATATACATTCAGAATCTATCATAGCAAGATAGTCCTTTCCTCCTCTCTTGGCTGAGAGCCAAGAGAGCATCTTTAGATGCTTCCTCATCGAAGGAAAATGGCAGAGAGAGATGGCTGCCTGCCCTGTGCTTTTGTCATTACCTGCACAGGTGAGGCCACACCCACCTCTGGTCACATGCGGAGGAAGTCCGTCCCCAGGAAGTTTACCTGCTTGCTGGACAGACATCCCTCCCCATGTTCTAACATGTACACTCTAGGAATGTTGTCATTGACTGCTCCTGTGTTTACATCCCACAACTTCTGCCACTGATTCACCTCACCCAGCCTCAGTTCCCTCTCACTTGCAGCAGTCCCTTCCCCCACTTGCTTCCTCTTCCTCTTCAGTTCAAAACAGAGTGTGTGCTCAGAAAAAAACCACATTTTGATGCATGGATAAAGGAGGAGACCACACTTGCATGACAGAATGCTAATGTGGAATTATGGCCAAGGCTGATTTCCCCAGGGCTACACACAGTGCTTTTTTTCTTTTTAAAAAATGTTTAGAGGTACTCTCTTTTTTCTACTCATATTGAAATACTGCCCCTCAATGAGGCCAAACTTAGATTCACAGGGGTATGCCTAGGGGTATACATTTAGGGGCATAGGGGTTTAGGGGTATGCGTACCACTGCATCCCCCCAGAAAAAAAGCACTGGCTACACACATTGTCAGAGGAGGTATCTTTTTTCACTGGATTACGTTAGGTTTCTGCTTTCAGTGAGCAACTTAGATCTCGCTGAAAACTTGATGGTCAACACACACCACAATTGCCTCATTACGTAAATCATGTTTAGAACACCACAACACAGACGTAACTGGCTGTAAAGTAACAGCATTATATGTAATAAAACTGTGATTTAATCGTCATATAAAAATATTGCAAAGCACAGTTCCTGATGGCAATAACATATCATATTACTATTAACCTTCTATATGTATTATTATCGTAAAGTCCAAGGATTGTCAAGTCCAAAGATTGTCACGTTCAATTATTACAACGTACAGTTCCTGTTGCCAATGCTTGACTTGACAATCTTTGGACTTCACGACAATAATACATGTAGAAGGTTAATAGTAATATGATATGTTAGTGCTGTCAGGAACTGTGATTTGCAATTTTTTTGATATGACGATTAAATCACAGTTTTATTACAGTGGTACCTCGGGTTACATACGCTTCAGATTACATACGCTTCAGGTTACAGACTCCACTAACCCAGAAATAGTACCTCAGATTAAGAACTTTGCTTCAGGATGAGCACAGAAATTCTGTCCGGCAGCGCAGCAGCAGCAGGAGGCCCCATTAGCTAAAGTGGTGCTTCAGGTTAAGAACAGTTTCAGGTTAAGAACGGACCTCCGGAACGAATTAAGTACTTAACCCAAGGTACCACTGTACATACAATGTTATGTTACTTTACAGCCAGTTACGTGTGTGTTGTGGTGAAAACTTGATGGTGTCAAGAGTCTCTGCACTATCAGTGCTTCTAGACTACTGTATCAGTTCTGCCCTGGTTCCTTCTAGTCCAGCTGAAGGAGGTAAGCTCTGACCAGTTTGCTGTCACTCAGCTGTTGGGCTGGCTCAGTACCAGCCAGGAGAGGTAGTAGGAGGAGCAGCAGTAGGAGGCATCACTTTAGGGAACAGTGCAAGATGCTGATAAGCACACACACATTCACCACAGTTCAGAGATGTGACTAACAATCTGGCCCCTCATCTGACCTCCTTTCCATTGGCATATTCTTTTCCGGTTTTCTCCTCCATTGTTTGGAATCATTGCTATCCATCCATTTTCTTGACTCCCCCCAGCCCACATCCTCCCTCCTTTCCTCTTCCCCCTTCATCTGCCTCCTCTAAAGAAAAGTCTCCCTCCAGCTAATACCTCATTCATTTAAAATCTGCTCTGTCTTCCTCTCATCACTCCAAATCCTCCCTCCATGATTGCATCCTTTCTCATGTCTTCTTCCTTCCTAATTTCTGCCTATTTATATCATCTTAATTCTTTGCAGCATCAAGTCTTATTTCCTCAAAACAAGACTGTGTATGCACACACACAAACTTTTCTTCCATGCAAGTGGCTGTTATTTACATCACAGTTTCAAGTGTGTGTATGAAAAACATAAGTTATAGAGGTCAAGAAAGCATGATGTCACCCAGGAAAAATGCTGAAGAGGCTGCAGCTCCACTGGCACATACCTCCATATGTGGTGGGAATGCCCCCAAATTTAATCAGTGCTGCAGTAAATCTGCAAAATAACAAAACAAGTAGTAGAAGCAACTCCAGAATTAGCCCTATTAAATACATTCCAAGACAAGGATGCACATTCACATGACAAGGAACTCAAAGTCACTCTAAGCAGCTAGAGGCATCATAGCTAGCTACTGGAAAGACCTATCAAGAGTGAATATAGATCACTAGTACAAAAATGTATGGGAAATGTATGGAAAAGTTAACCCACAAACTTAAACAAACTTAAACTGGCCCCACCTTTTTCCCTGACAAGGACAAACACAAAAGGCAACACCTATTGATATGAATAGGAAAGACCAATGTTCTTCCCCATATACAAACTGAAATACAAGTGGGTGTGGACTACTTCAGTGCCATTCAACGGGTGGAAAAGTGGATTAACAACTAAATGATGCTCAAAGATGGATAAGCCCTTACATTTCACAGCTTTTTGGCTCCATTGTTAACATTTCCCCCCTGTGTACTTTATTTATGGATTAAAATAATTTATACCCTACCTTTCCACTACGGAATAGCACTCAAGGCAGCTAACAACATTCAATTGTTCAATCCTGTCCATATTTACGTGTACTTGGAAATAGGCACCACTGAACACCATGATGTCATCTGCAAATTTGATGAACATCCCCTCAATTCCTTCATCCAAGACATTATAAAGACATTGAACTACAACAGGCCCAGGACAAAGGCTTACTCCCAGGTAAACGAGCTTAGGCTTGCAACCTAAAATGATCATAAATGAAATAAAACAAATAACAATAAATCACAAAAAGATATGAAAGATAAATAAAAATAACATTTCAGTATAAAAATTAAGACAAATTGAAAAGTCTGCCTGAAGAGAATTAACTTTATTAAGGCAGCAGAAACTGAAAACCTCAGCTCATGGCATATTCTTGGGTGGGTCTTTACTAACTTCTAAGGCACACTGATCTTGCAAAATGGAGACCAGTAACATTACTGGTTGAGTCACACAGCAGTTTCATGCTGGCTGAAGATATCAGATCCCTTCTCAGTAACTTCCGTGCAGGTGAGCAGTGATGTCAAAAGTACCTTATTGCTGCAGGCCTTCTTTGGTGCATCTGTGTCAAGTGTGGGAAACCTTTTTCAGCCCAGAGGCTGCATTCCTTCAAGACCAACCTCCCAGGCTCCACATAGCGGTAGTGGGTGGGGCAATAGATGTCCCTCTTATATTTGTGCAGCAGGAGACTGTCCAGCCGCTCACAAGTCAGCAGTTTCAATAATCATTACTAAATTAATTTTTATACTGCCTAATGCTAATAAAGGCTTCTAAACCCAGCCACACAAGCGTTAAAATATGAACACCCACCATTAAACTAGGCAATAAAACAATCCCATTAAAATTAAAAACAGGAGACAGGTGGAGAGATCAAGGGAATGCCCATGTAAAGAGGTACATCTTCAAAAGCCAGGGGAACCCCAATACAGATGGTGCCTCTCATTTTAAGCAGGGAGTGCTTTCCATATTACTGGTCCCTGTCACCACAAACCAATGAGGCTAGGGCAAGGCTAAGCTAGTTCCATTTGTTGCTATCAATGCCCTGACTGGGCAATGGAGGGAAGTCACTCTTTCAGGTAACCTGGCTCAGAGTTGTTTAGGGCTTTTATATGTAAGTAACAAGAACTCAACCCTTGTTGAACATAAGCAACCAGTTCAGAGCTTGTAGCACAGGTGTATGACCTGTAAGGGGCACTGCGCCCTACCTGCGTGGGCCTCAGCAGTCGTAAGGAAAGCCCCACATAGAGCACATCACTGCAGTCCAAACCAGTGCATGGGCCACAGCAAAGCTCTTCATCCAGCCAAACAAGATACTATTCTATTACTATGGGTAGCTGCCTTATACTGAGTCAGACCTTTGGTCCATCTAGCTTAGCATTATCAACACTGATTGGCATCAGGTCTCCAGGATTTCAGACTGGGGTCTATCCCAGCCTTACCAAGAGAGGTCAGGGGTCTTCTGCATGCACAGCAAAGGCTCTACTACTGAGTTATGATCCTTTCCCTGTTGCCCAGCCAAAGCAAAAACAGCAACTTCCTCTTCAGAGTTATTCTCCTGTAAAATTAGTTACTGTTCAGCAACCTGCACTTGGAATTGATCTTCTGGATCCCATTGCCAGCTTCAAATTCAAGACCTCAAAAATGCACTTCCCCTATATTTTCATAAAGTGCCTGCACAATGTCAGGTTCACGCTCTAACACCCACACAGGCGGTGAACTGTAAGACACACTTTTCCCCCTGTGTGTGGTCACGTAAGAATGAAGCCCCACCTAGGCCAGATCCTGTTCTCACAGTGGCCACTCAGATGCCTGTGGGAAACCTGCAAGCAGGCAATGGGTGCAAGAGCACTTTCCTCACTTGTGAATCCAAGCAACAGGTAGTCAGAGGCTTACCACCTACAGCTGTGGAGGTTGTCCGTGGCCGTCATGATTTGCAGCCAGTGATAGGCTTATTCTCTAGGAATTTATCTAATCTCCTTTAAAAGCCATCAAGGCTGATGACAAATCAAGAACATTTGAAAAAGTGGAGAGAGCTTTTTTTTTTTTTTGTCTTAGGGAAATCTTCTGATAGTTTAGAATGTTTAATTGATTTAGAGTCTTATTTACAGAACAACTGTTAAGGGTGTGTTTATGAGGAAGTGAAGTGGCAGTCCAATTGCCACCTTAACAGTAGGCTGTACCAGGTCCTGGAATCAGTTAAGCAGGTGAATAATTGCATTTAAAGCAATATTTTAAATTCCATTTACGTATATGGCAGAACCATGTGAATCATTGATTCAGTAGAACATTTTGCTTAACAAATATGCTAATGGAAAAATAAATGGTTCACAGGTATTGTGTCACTAATTGAACATTATATTTGCCATTGGTTTTCCCATTGCTATTTCTTTAACATGCAGATTAAGGACCTATTCTCTTTACTACTTTATGGCATAGTGGTATCAGGTTTTGTTTTCCTCCCATTCAGTACTGGAGTCCAAGAGATGTAGCTTTTTTCTTCTAAAAGGTAGCTTTTCCCAGCACCACAATGATCATGGAGCAATTAAAGTGTGCCCTACAGTCCAATCCTATGTCTGCTCTGAATTAAGTCTTTTTTACTACAGTAGGGCTTACTCCCAGGTGAGTATAGGATTATAGCTTTAATGAATGGGAATTAAATGGGCGTATGCACATTCTTCAATGGGGGGTGGGCAGGGCAAGGGACATGCAACTCTAGGTGCACATTAATATACAGCAGAGGCCAAAAAATAAGTGGAGAACTACAGATTCTTGTTGTGGTGACATTCATACTTTTTAATTGTGTAGCCTGAATATTGCAATGTATCATGTATCAATAATAATAAATCAGCTATCACAGCTGGATGTTGTGCTTTGTCTCAGATGGAGAACCCAAAACAGAGTTTGAACAAGATACCAGCAGATTCCAGATATCCAAGGAGCTTATTAGCAGATTAGTCTCCAAGCAGAGATCTTAGAAATGAATTACATAGCAGCATTATACAGCAAGCTGCCCTAAAACTACTGACTTCTACTCCTGTCCTGAAGTAACTTAAATTGTCCTGAGCAGCTATTCTTGAATCTAAAAGTAGATGATCTGTGCCACCCAGTGGACAGAAGAATATTTAAACAATTAGCCTGAATTTTCTGAACATGACAGAACCTTAAGAAAGGTTAGTCTATTGCAGCAGAAAACAATAGGAATTTGCATTTTCTGTTGTGGAGTTTTAGAATTAAAGTCATTATGTTGACATAACACTGGTTTTGCCTTCCATGCTGATTCTCCTAACCTATATTTGAACTAGGAAAATTGGGATGAGCATTCCCTCCTCCTTTTCCTGTGCAAATAGTTGCTGACCAGAATTCAGATTCAAAGTACTCACAAACCTGACTGTGGACTGGTTGTTTTTACAATCCCAGCACTGCCCACCAATCTGTACTGGCCACCTAGTCTTGACAGTCCCACACATCTGCCACCAATCTTTCACAAAGGGTGCACTTACCATGCTTATATTATTACACATAGGGTCTCTGCCACATACACCATATATTAAAAGTATGTACTAGCATTATCCCAGTTAATGTCCCTACTGCCATCATTTTAAGTAAATAATAGCTTTGAATGCCTTTTCTTGCTAGATATAGACATGGGATGAACAGACCAGAAAATGAAGATTGGAAAGTGAGATGTATTACAATTTATTAAAGGTTACTATAATATAAAATAATAGGTTTATATACAGGTTGGATATATAACAATGTTGCTTCACCAATGTTAATGTTACTGTTATTTTAAAGAAGTGACTATATAGTTGCCGTAGATCCTACCTTCAAACATTAGCCAATTAACCTTTTAATCTTCACCCAAGTTAAATCACAGGCTATTTAGAGTTCACGATCTTTGCAGTTTAACAGCCAACTGCAGGTATATTGCCTGCAGTTCTTCCATAGTATTGCTACTGGAGTCTTCCTCTCACCCTTGCAGATCTTCTTAGCTTCTATCTTTAATGATTTCAGCTGTGAAGCATTGGCTCCTTCCTCTATATCAACTGCCTAGCCCTGGGAGCCCCAGTCTGGCACCTGTGGGGACCACAGCACCCTCAGGCACCCTGTTTGGAGCCTGCCAAAGTCCATACTCCTCCCCGCTTAATTATTATTGAGTTTTTGAGCTTGTTAATCCTGCTGTTGTATTTTTTGCAGGGGGGAGGTTGTTGCCTACTTTTTTGTCAGTTTTTTTCCCTTTTGGTGGGGTGAGGGTGTTTGTTTGTTGGTCATCCCCACCCCACCACCAAATCTTAAAGCTTCAATATCTCTGTGTTGGGAAGTTCAGCAGCTGCTGCTTTGACCTTCACTGTGAAAGGAAACCAGCACCTGTGAAAGTATCAGTTCTCTGTACCAATTAAAGGTAAAGCTGAAATCAGAGTTTGGAAGCATGACTTGACACTTATTTATGAGTAATAAAGACCACAGCCAAGGAAAATCCCTGGTGCTACCTGTTTTGCTTCCAGCAGTGTGCCAAGACTTTTTAATGCAAGAGCACATACTGGATCATGTGACACCTATGGCAGCCAGCCAACAAAAACAACATTGTCTGCATGCCTTGCCCATGAAGGTGACCCTGCACACTTGACAAAACAAGCACCTCCGCTATGTGGACAGGAAACCTGAGCACATGCCAAACACAGCATGTGGCTGAGGCGTGTAGCTGTGAGGCAGAGTAGGCAAGAGGGCAATCACTCTCTTTATAGAGAAGTACGGTATCTTAAGACAGTAGAAATGGTCAAAGCATTCTCAGGGCCAGCCCACCCAGGAGGCAAAGGGAGGTGACCACCTCAGGCAGCAGGATTCACAGGGGCAACAGACCCCAATGTAGAGCTTGGTCTTTAGGTAGATCTTCACTCACTCCTTCCCTGGTGGAGGAGATAGAATTTTGTTCTCCTAAGGGGCCAAGGTGTCTTGGTTTGGCCGAGCCTTATTGCCATAATCAGAAACTCTGCAAAAAGGAATCACAGAATTGTAGACTTGGAAGGGACCCCAAGGGTCCTCTAGCCCACCCCCCGCAGTGCTCTTCCTGTGCCTGCTTCCTGCACCATCTTCCCTGATGGAGAGTTCTCATGGGTGAAGTCAGGGAAGAAGCAAAAAATAAATAAATAAATAAAAATACTTAACAGAATTTGTAGAAAGGTTTTGACAGATTTCCCCGAGCCCTTGGGGGTCAAAGGCACGTCATTTAAAAGAAGTGTTGTTGGGACATTTCACTCCGAATCTGCTAGAGGGTCAGACAGAGGATGGTGCCAGGAGGGCGTCCTGCCCCGCCCCCCAAACCCTGGCCAGGCCCTTGAGGCTTCTGGAAATCTTGCCCTTTTCGTGACGCTGCCTCGCTGTTCATTTCGAGGGCCTTAGGCTTTTTAGGGGCGGAGAAAGGCAGTTCCAGGGCTCCTTCCAAGCAGAAGAATAAAGCGTTTAGTACATAAGCATTTGCTGTGGCGGAAGGGGGTCGCGATTACTACTCGGGTTGACACGCGTCCTCGAATACAGACGAAGCGAGCCCCGCTAGCGCGCAAGGCAGCTTCTCCTCCCAGGATTCCTCGCGCGCTGCTCGCGGAGGGGCTTCTGGACGCTGGCCGGCCACGCGCAGGCGCAGAGGCGCCCCTTCCGCCGTCGCTCCTCCTCCCTCCCCACAGCCCCGGAGCGGGGAGCGCCGTGGCTCCGCCCACCAGGGGGCGGGCTCGAGGCGCGGTTGGCCGCGAGAGCTGGAACCTTCCAGCGGCGTTTCGCCCCCGCCTCCTGTGACGCGGCGCGAGGCCCCGCCCCTTCCGCACCGGCACAGCAGCCCGAGTTCGCCGGCCGCCGCGCGCATTCTGGGCGGAGTGGGCTGCGCGTGCGCGACTCTGCCCGCTCTCTCCTCGCCGCCGAAGGTCTTCCGAGCGCCGCGCCCGCCCGCTGCTGCTGCTGCCGCCGCCTCGGGGCCGGACCGGCCTCCTCCGTGGCGGCGCGGGGCTTCTCTCGGCTGGCCATGAAGAGCCTGCCGTACTTCTGCCGCGGGGAGGTGGTGCGCGGCTTCGGCCGGGGCTCCAAGGAGCTGGGCATCCCCACAGGTGAGCGGGCGGCCGCTCGGGGCCTTTCCCGGAGGGAGACGGGAGAGAGCCGGGCCGGGCCGCGCCTCCCTCCCTCCCTGCGTCCGTCCCGGTTTCGTTCCGCCCACCAGACGCTGCTTCTGCCGCGGCTTCAGAGACTTCTGAATGCCCCGGGTCCCGCATGCCGAGTGTCCCGGACTTGAAGCCAAACGGGAAAATATCCGCGACCTGTTTAACCGGGATTTTGTAAGGAGAGAGAATCTGATAACGAAACCGGCTTCTTATGCAGGAATGCGGGACCGTGTTCCCGACGGCGGCATAATGAAGAAAAGGCAGCAGGGAGCCAAGTAGATAAATAAATATAACAAAATCACCCTCTGCTGGTGGATCAATAGCTTTGGGAAAATCTGATTTAGAGGGAAAATGGGATATAAATGTAGCTGTTGCTTTCAGTATATACCGTAATTTGATCTAAAACCGAATTTAGCGTTAATGTTAAACTGATGCAATTGTGGGAGGTTAATATTTATCATCCAAACAGCAGGGACTTTTATATTACGGAGAAATAGTGTTTTGTCGACCAGTTGCCAACTGCATTTTGCATGATTTTGGGCACCATCCTACCCTTACCTGTAAGCCAGATGAGTGACCTCTGGAAACAGAACAGGTGCTGCTGCACTGGAGATGGAAGCCCCCTTGGGAAGTCAGCTGGGCCTCCCGCAGCCAGTGGCTTAGCCAGGGTGGGCCGCACTGCCAAAACTATGTCCCTCTCAATTCCCCCCACCTGTGACACAGTGTGTAGATGCTGGCCCAGCCCTGTCTGCAAAAGCAGCACAGAGCTGGAGTCCGAGCCACTGCATTCCTGTGGGGCACCCTCCTGCTGGAGGGAGGTGGTGGGCGGATGCCAGCCCCTTGTTGCTTTTGTGGGCGGTGCACTGCAGACCCCACATGGCTTGTGGGGCCAGCATGTGCCAGTTGCGTCCTTCTCGGCCACCCTGTGGTGTCTGGCGCGTTCTACAAGCCCAACCCTGGGCTGTGGTGCTTTGGGGGGTGATGCACTGGGCTCTGGGGTGCCTGGACCTGTCTGGAACCATGGGCTCTGGCATGCCACCCCAAGGTAAGTGCCACCTAGGGTGCCCTGCCCCACTAGCTATGCTACTGCCCACAGCAAGTATTGCTGGCTAGTAGAGTAGGGGGAAATGGGGTGTGCTGAGAATAGCATGGAAATGCCACATCCTTTGTCCCTTCATTTCCCAGATACGTCTCACGTACGGGCACCAGTCCTAGACTTGGCATAGCTAATTCACTCTCATTGCAGACAGTAAATGAGAGAATAAATTAAAAGCTGCCTCAACCTCCACCCTGTCCACGGTGAAAAGTCAGGGCGGCAGATGTGGCAGTTGCTATTCCAGTGCAGCTCTCCCTTCCATCAGTGTAAAAGTAGGATTGGTGTACGTTATTCCTACCCACCTCATTTTATTCTCACAGGTAGGCTGGACTGAGCACCAGTGAGTGTCTTGTGGTCACTCACTGAACTCCATGGGACTAAAGTTCTCCTAGTTTAATTTGATGCACTAACCACTCTGCACCAAGTTGACCGTCAGGACTTAACCTACAGACTTGAAAATTTTGTGGAGGATTGTGGCCCTTGTCTTAAAATGTTATCTTGCTTAGTGGTTTTGCAGATGTACAGAGAAAATTTTTGCATCTCTAAAGAAATAGAAGTACTAGAGGTTTTTGGATTATTGTGTTGTGCAGTATAACAGTATAGCCGTTGTGTTATTTTTTTTATAGCAACCAATTACTATACACAATTGTTTCGCAAACCATGACTTGATAAAGAATTGATTTAAATGCCATCTTTCTTGGTGACCTAAAACACTGGCTAAAACTAGGACAATCAGAGCCCAACCTTGATCTGGATTCTAATCATGTACCATCTAAATAGGAATACCAAGTTAACTGACCTGACCTGGGGCATCGTCCTTTTCCTATCGTTTATGAAACGTTTTAATGTAATTGTTTTGTTTCATTTATATTTTTCAGCTAACTTTTCTGAGGAAGTGGTTGATAGCTTCCCATCTGATATCTCTACTGGCATATACTATGGCTGGGCTTGTGTTGGAAATGGAGATGTGCATAAAATGGTTGCGAGCATAGGCTGGAATCCATATTATAAGAATGTTAAAAAATCAGTGGTAAGAACATGATATTTTATCTAGCTTATGAGAAAACCAATGTACTTTCAGTTGGAACAGTTCCTGAGAATATTCCTTGATAATGTCAGAGCTGATCTGAAAGCATTAAGGTCTGCATGCTGCTATGCTCACAATTAAGGAGTTTTCAATAATAATAATAATAATAATAATAATAATAATAATAATAATAGCATGGGGGGAGAGTCCCCTTCTGCTTTATAGGAAATACATTTCCTATTTCTGATCCTTGATGACAGATAAAATACTGATATTTAACACTTTAAACTGAAATTGGGATACATGTATTGGCTGTGACAGAATGCACAGAGATCAATGGTAGTTACTTTTAAATTCTCCAAGAACCCAGGTGTATGCCTGCACTTACACGTTCTGTTACGTGCTTCATCAGAACTAGTTTGGCTGGAAGCTGTGTAAGCTCATGAGGAAGTGCTCACTGAACTGAAGGAGATACACAGTTGCTATTTCAAACTGATTTCACGTGAAAGGCTAATATATTAGAAGGGTAGGTAGAAATAAAATGGTACGAGAAAGTTAGTAGCAGTAAACTGTTGTGTGAAAGTGCAACAGGAACATATTCAAAGGACTAGCAACCTTAAAGGGTTTCTGCCTCTATTGCACTGTATTGTTACATGCGTAGCACCTAGAAAGGGGTTTTTGTTTGTTTTGAAAGTGTAAACTGCAGTATAGTGTGAAAACTGTACTCTGCCTTCTATAGTATGTAGTATCTGGCCATTAGGATTGCTAAATTCTCAATCAAGCCTATATATTAAATTACGAAACTGTTGTTCTAGGAAACACACATCATTCACACCTTCGCAGGAGACTTCTATGGAGAAATACTTAGCATAATTATTGTTGGATACATAAGACCAGAAAAAAACTTCAGTTCTTTAGGTAAGTCCTAAGTACTTTTTGTAACCACTGTCAGTGTAGCTATAGCAGTATTTATTTATTCATTATTTATTTACTTTAATTATTTACTGTACTTATATACTAACTTTCTGCTGAGGGACCCAAGGTCTAACTAGTCTAACTAGGGCAGCCCCAATGTTGTCTTTGCCTGCCACCCTTGTCCTCTTTTTCCTTCTCAATACATCCTCTCATGGTAATGACACCTGTAACAAGCTAGATATCCCTTTGTCAAGCTGCCCAGACATTAACTATTATTATTTAGTAGCTTCTTTTTTGAGTGAGGTGGAAAAACTGTATTTTGGAGTTTCCTATATCAAGATACATGTTCCCCCCTTTTTTCCAGCTAAGTAGACATTTCCAGAATGCAATTGTGTATTGTTTGTATGTCCTTGTATGTTCTCCCTGTGTACTGCCAGTGCATTTTATAACACAGGGTTATATAAATGCAGCCGTCTTAATAGGAAATGTATTTACTCTCAATATGGTGTACATTTATTGGAGGATAGGTGGGAACAGAATATAAACTTTCATTTACAGTACCAGACTAGTAGATCTCAATTTGGCACAAAACAGAGAAATGTAATACCAAATCATGCCTTTCTCTTTTGCAAACTACAGATTGTGCAAACCATACTTTAAAACATTGAGTCAGTTGCAGTTTCCAGTTTGGGGTTTTTTTCTTTATATTTTGTCTGAATTCAGTCAAACTTAGCAGATGTACTAAGGTTCTTGGATGGTTGTCATCAAGGCAAAGACCAGATCTGTTTGGCTTAGGAAGCTGCATTATGTGCCTTGAGACACTGGCTCGTCCAATATGGATGTAATGGCAGCTGGTTTGCTGTGCAAGAGGAACACTGTGACAAGTCTGATGCTTGTCCATGTACAGTCATACCTCTTACTACGTTTGCTTCAGGTTGAATCTTTTCAGGTTGTGTCCTGCGGCGAGCCGGAAGTAACGGAATGGGGTACTTCTGGGTTTCGCCGCATGCGCAGATGCTCAGAATGACGTCACACGCAGACGCGGCGAATTGCGACGCGCAGACGTGGGTTGCGTTCTGCTCATGATGCGAACGGGGCTCCGGAACGGATCCCGTTCGCATCCAGAGGTACCACTGTAATGCCAAACTGGTTTGCTTGCTGTGTCTGAACCAATATTGAGTCTGCCCCTTATCTGTGATAAAGTACCTTTGATACTTTTGAAGAAGGCTTTTAAGAATGTTTTCTGAATCTTTTATTCAGAATTAGTCTGTGAAATGGTATCAACTTCTTTTCATTTTATACAGATGCACTAATAGCAGCTATTCAAGATGACATTGAAGAAGCTAAGAAAAAACTAGACTTGCCAGAACACCAGAAATTAAAAGAAGACAACTTCTTCCACACTACTACTGTTACCAACATAGCTAATGGTCATTGAGTGATGCCACTCCTTAATTTTCACTGTATATTGCACCAATTTTAGTGGCTGTCCTTTAGAGAAAAAAATCTGTAACCAGTATTCCTGTGGTTTAAGAGTTCTGCTTATATTGGTATTGAATTAAAATAGTTAGGCAAAAGTAACTTTTATTAGTCTACATATTATCATGGCAAGTTAGGAAAAAGGTTTCACCATACCCCGGGCAATGTGTACACACTGTTACTATTACTAGGTCATCCAAGGCTCAGAAACAGTTGCTTAATGTTGACTGGTAATTTGTAAATGTTTCTAATGATGGTTAGCTAATCTTTAAATGAGCATCCTTTTCTGGTTTTAAAGGTCAGAGCAATCATGCCAGACGCTCTTGTACTGAGAGAAATACAATGGTAAAGTAGACTTCTCTTTTGGATACTTGGTTTTTATTTGGTACATAATTAAAAATGGGTGGCATCCAGAGGAAAACTAGTCACATTTCAGGATTTATGTTGTGCCATTAATTTTAATGAGACTTCAAAACAGCATTTTTATATACTTATAATAGAGTTTGTCTACTGTACTTAATTCTCAAATAGGGTGCAAAGACCCTGGTTTCCAGAGAAGCATTTGAAACCAGATAAATCAGAAACTTTTAAATAGCAAATATTCTTTTCTTTATTGTAGAATGATTAAAGACACATTTCAGTCTTTGTCTCACCATATCTATGCACAACGTAACTTTTACAAAATGGATTCTAAAATAAATGGAGATTTCAGTGATGAATTTAGCTTACTTAGAAGATTTATGGGGCTTGCGTTGCTGCTATATAAATTTAGCAGTTGCCTCTTGGTGAAATGTCTGTGCATAAGCACTCATTAGCTACATTGCCTGGTTGTGGATTAAATATGGTATAGCTTTGATTTATGACTTGCCTACAACGTTAGTGATATACATAGGGTGGAAAGCAAGGGGGATTGGCCCTAAGCAACTTTCAGCTTTTGCAGAAACCTAATTGATATCAGAATTGTGTCTAATTCTGATTCTAGGTTAAACCTTTTTTTAGAAGTACACATAGTATACTTCTAATTTTTTGAAGCCTTTTATGTTAAACATGACCAAAGTCCTACAATGAAATGTTAGACTGCTTAGAAAAAATGTGTTGGAATATAAACTTTTGGGCATTTGTGCAGTCCCAGAAAGAGCCTAATTTAAGAATGATGTGCTATAATTGTAGGGAGATAAATACACAGCAGTTTTCACATGGTTAAATGTGTGAACATGTTTGTGGGCAGTGAAATTGCAGTGGGAAGTCCTGCTATGAATCTGTGTTGAAGACCTACAAATGAGTATGCAAACTGAATGTGCATTTGAAGATCATACTTTTTCCAGAGTTCACATGCACACAGGTTGGAAATAAATGCAGGGCTTGTCATTGTGATCTTGTTTGCCTCCTATGTGTTTGTTGTATCTATTTTGTGGGAAAAGTGCTTGTATATTTCAGAATTTTCACATTGTGTTGATTTGCAAAGAAACCTCTAGTCTCCTTTTGTCATTGTTGAAATGTTCCTATATCCATATCTGAATGATGTAGTTAAGTTTAAATATTCTGGTTTTATTCAACTAACTTTTACACAAAGTACACCCATTGAAATGAATGGCTATAACTAACTTGGGTCCATTAAGTTGCAGTCCATCTATCCTGAGTAAAAGTTAGTTGAATACTAAGTTAGTTTTTAGTAACATGTCCACTATTCTCCCCCGCCACCGCCCATGCCCAAACAATTAGGCTTTCCTCATTTTTAATATATTAGATATTTATGATTTGGGTTTCCACTGACTTGCAAGTTCTCTGTGTGCCAGGTAATGTGTATGTTCTAGCATGCAATTAGCAGGCCTGTAGCAACATGTTTCTGCTTCTTCCAGCTTCAGGGTTGAGCAGCACAAAATTAGGTGGACTTAGAGCCAGAAAAAGCGCTTCTTCCTACTACAAAGTTCTGTAGTGCCACATGGAAGAGTCCCCTCTCTGGCTCAGGAGAGGGAAAGGAGATGCCATGCCAAGCTGAGCTACTGCTTCTGGGAAATAGGTTTGTGGAAGCTTAGCCCACAGTAATTTAATGTTAGCAGTTGGAAGTAAGCATACTGTCTGACGGAGGTGATAACACAAGCTTAACGGTCTGAGGTCTTGATAATGTTGCTACCTATGATTGTTTACCATTTGTGTTGTCTTTAGAAATGAGTGCCTTCTGGAAGGGTTTATGAATCTTGAGCATTTGACTTTGAAGAGAATGTAGTCACAGAGTACTTTAATTTTGCGAAAAACTGCACTATAAAGTATGAACAAGAAAAATGTTCATTGTTCAGTCCAGATAAAAATACATGAGTGTATGAAATCATTTATTGAATTCTATCTTTTTATATGCCTGTATTTAAGATGATTCATTTTAAATTTACCACTGTAATTTTATTAAGGGTTTTATTTTTCTACTCATTTCAACAAATAAAAGTATGGAAAATGTGTATATGTAACTATTCAGTTTGTCATACTTGATGTACAAAGCATACAGAATAACATGCCTAGTTTGTCCACATCTGGCACTTCACATTGGGGTAGCAGTTTGCACTAACTGCCGTATTTTTCCATGTATAAGACCATGTTTTTTGCTAAATATTTTTGGTCAAAAATTGGGGGTTGTCTTATACACAGTTGGTGAATGCACAGGGGTTCAGGCTCTGGTGTGGGCAGTCTTGGCTCAGGCTCTGGCCCGATTTCTTAATTTTGGGTTCAAAAAAACGGGTTGTCTTATACATGGGGGTGTCTCATACACGGAAAATATGGTATTGTTTACTGCACAATTTATGGCAATGTTTATTGTGAATATTTTATGCTATTATGTGTGAATTGTGTACTGCTCCTGATCTGCTTTAATTGAGCAATGAGAGATTATTTGCTTTGGGACTACAGATTCTGTCAAATATTTACAAAACTGATTAAAAAGTATGCTCCACTTCATCCTTCACTAATAATAATAATAAATAATAAATTTTATTTATATCCCGCCCTCCCCAGCCAAAGCTGGGCTCAGGGCGACTAACAACAATAAAATAGTACAAAAGTACAGCACAAACAACACTCTAAAATCATTCATTATAAAATTAATTAATTCAAGCCACTGGCAACCATTGGGCCAGAGCTCCGCGAAGATTGCCGAGGGAGGGAGTCAGGCTGCGCCCTGACCAAAGGCCTGGTGGAACAGCTCTGTCTTGCAGGCCCTGCGGAAAGATGTCAAGTCCCGCAGGGCCCTGGTCTCTTGTGACAGAGTGTTCCACCAGATCGGAGCCACAGCCGAAAAAGCCCTGGCTCTAGTTGAGGCCAGCCTAACTTCTCTGTGGCTTGGGACCTTCAAGATGTTTTTATTTGAGGACCGTAAGTTTCTCTGTGGGGCATAGCCGTATAGGGCTTTAAAGGTTAAAACCAGCACCTTAAACCTGATCCTGTACTCCACTGGGAGCCAGTGCAGCTGGTATAGCACCGGGTGAATGTGATCTCGCAGCGAAGACCCTATAAGGAGTCTCATTTCAGCATTCTGCACCCGCTGGAGTTTCTGGGTCAGTCTCAAGGGCAGCCCAACGTAGAGCGAGTTACAATAATCCAGTCTGGAGGTGACCGTCACGTGGATCACAGTGGCTAGGTCAGGGCGAGAGAGATAAGGGGCCAACTGCTTAGCTTGGCGGAGATGGTAAGTGGCAAGATGGTAAGTGGCAAGAGCAGGGCCCTCAGACACTCACACAGGGGAGTCCTCCTGGGCAGCAGAGCAGTCCTTTTGAGGCTTCAGGCCCCGCCCCAGGCCAGATGGTAAGTGGCAAGAGCAGGGCCCTCAGACACTCACACAGGAGAGTCTAACAAGTATTAGCAACAAGGCTGTGGTCCAAATGTTATCTATTTATTTAAAAACGTGATATGAACAGAAATATCTATTGGCTAAAACGGCACTAAAGCCTTTCTCCAACTCTTTACTTGTTGCCTTTAATCGTGGAGACTAATAATTGCCCCTTTAAAAAGAAAGAAAAATGCAAAGTCTATGCCTGGGTAAGTATGCAAGAATGTTTACGCTTTCTCTCATAGCTGTATATTGAAGTATAGACCTATCACATCTATGCAGAGGCTACTTTTGGGTGCCAAGTACATTGGTGGGGAGCCAGGAGCAGTGAGACCATGTAGAGCCAGACCCAACCTCGCAAGGAGGAGCATGAAATGCTTCCTTCATGGGAACAGGAATTCTGATGGCCTGGGCCTCTGGTACCATGAAGAAAGCCAACATGCATTGTAGCTAGAAGATGCTGCCAATGCGCCCATTGTCAAGGGAATGGAGCTGGCCCCATGCAATCCCACCAACTCCTTCATGCATTTAATAACTAATGCTTAATGATTTAAGAAGAGCTTCCATTCTTACCTAAACTTCAGAGTATTCTGTGAACTCTTCAGGGAAAAATGTGGGCAATAAATTAGGTCATTCCCTCCCCCACCAAGGAGATTCACCAAGTAACACTGATTGGTCACTACCTTCCCAACATTAAACAAAAATAGGCAGCAGTTTTTATGCTTGCATTATCTACAAAATAAATGTGCAAGTAACACATGAAAAGTATCAGAGTATCTTGTCCAACTTTCTGGATGACATAAAACATGGACATTTGCAAGCTTTCATAGAAAAATAATTCCAGTGGCAGCTTTCTGGCAGAGCTGTGTGTGTAATGAGGCAATCCAATATCAAATATTTCAACGCCATTGGATTAATTTACTGTTTACAGCAGTCTGAACTGTTGGAATTCTTTAAAGGTTCAATTTATCTTAAAGATACAACTACTAGCTAAAAGTTCAAACTACATATCCTGTCATGAATAGGCGCAGCAACCTATAAAAATGTTGCTAACTAGTCATACACGTTTGCAGAGATTTCAATTGGATTACTCAAGAACTTTGTTAATAAAACGACGGTTTTCTCAGTACCCAAAAAGTATGTTGGGAATAATTGGCATAAGTCTCTTGTTCTCCAAAGGTTTTTTTTTTGCTAGTATTACGTAAGTCCTTTGTATGCTTGGTCCTCATGCCACCTTTTTAAACAATTCCATCTGTCAAAGGAAGTATATGCCTGTTTTTACTAATATTTCCTTACTTGCGAAATATGCTGGAACTGCAATATCTGCTATTGGAAACTGACATTTAATATTTGAGGCATTCATTTTTTTAAAAGACTCCTTTCATAGGCATATGCAGCACATTTCATTAGGGTAGGCGCTTTGGGAATTGAAACACAATTCTGACTATGAAGCCCGATAATGTCAGAGTGAGCACAAGGCAGAAGATCACAGACTCAGATGCATGCACACACAAAGGTGGGGGGGATAAAAAGAAGAGGTGGAGACACAGGCGTGCCCACAAGCCCACCCCACACCTATTCTCTCTCCCCCCCTAGCCACTACTTGCACTTCATGACTTTCCACACACTGCACACCTGGAGAACAAACTCTCCATTGCTGCTGCTACTCCTGTCACACACGCAAAACAGAGCCACCCAAGACGGCACTGCTGTACTCTGACCGTGTCTCCAAACATGAGTAAAATGCTGAGGCCACAGCCTCCTTTTTCTTGCAACATTAAGGTGTGCCTGTACATACCTGGTGCAATTCATAGCCTATAACTCATTTGGAGTTGTAAGAAAACTCAAAGTGATTTGATAATTGCACGGGTTAATTTTGCTCTTCCCTAGTACTGGTCATCTTCCTGTATCTGCCACTGAGCATCTTTTACAGCAAGCCAAAAAGGAAACTTTCCCCAATAGACATTCATAGGAAGGAGTAGCGCTAGTAAGGGCCGCATAGTTTAAAGTCGTTATTTTTTTAAATTATCAATTATATTCTGCAGTAAACTGTTTGAACAAGCCATTTATTTTTATTGTCTGCTTAGAAATAGTAATGATTACATAAAGCTATTTACAAGGAGGGTGTCGCAGAAAGGAACCCCAAAAGTAACCTAGCCCAACCCCCTGCAGTACAGGAATCTCAACTGAAGCATCCAGGACAGATGGCCACCCAACTTCTCCTTAAAATCCTCTAATGAAGGGAAATCCACCACCTTCCAAGGGAGTCCATTCCACTGTCAAACAGCTCTTACCATGAGAAAGGTCTTTCTGATGTTTAGTTGGAAACTCCTTTCTTGTCACTTGAAGCCATTGGTTCAAGTCCTACCCTCCAGAGCAGGAGAAAACAGACTTGCTGCCTCTTCCATGTGACAGCCCTTGAGATATTGGAAGATGGCTATTATATCTCCTCCTGTTTAAAGCAGGCAGGTGTTTGCTTACCTCCTCTCTTCCTATCTTGGGCTGCAGGTTCCTCTACATCATTTATCCTGTTATCACCAGGTTGGGCATCACTTTCCTTTTGGGTGAAGACCAGAGGCAAAGTAGGTGTTGAGTAGTTCCACCTTCTCTTTGTCACCAAATAGCCATTGTCTCCACACAATGGACCTACCACTTGTTTGCTCTTCCTCTTGCTTTGAACATAGCTGAATAAACCTTTTAAAACTATTTTTAACCTGTCTTGTAAGCCTGAGCTCATTCTGAACTTTAGCCTGCCTGCCTTTCACCCCACAACTGTTGGCTACTTGGGGTGGCCACTAGGGGGCGCTTCGGAAGATGGCTGACAATAACATCTCTCCGACCCACACGAGGTAATTTGGAAGCTATGATGGGAGTAATTAGCCTCCCTACCCCCCCCCGGATGGTGGGGGGGGACTACCCTTGCCTGCTGTGCCCTATACCACCCCCGAATTTGTGGGGATGGGGGCACTAGGCACAAAGCCCTCCTGTGGGATTTCGGCGCTCCTGGACGTCGTCCCTGATCCGCGCCACTAGCTGCAAGAACTTCAAAAGAAACAATTTGGATGAAGGAATGCACATATTTCAAGGAAGGAGGGGGAGTAAAGACTGCTAACAGAAGAGATCTCTGATAAAACAAGACAAGAATAAAACATGAGAAGATACGCCAAGACACGGTATGGCAAAAGACTGATGGGGGAGGGGAAAAAACTTTCCTTTCTTTCCTTATGTGATTAAACAAGAATCCCCTCCCCTCACGAGTCAGAAATGTCATTTTAAGGACTTAAGCTGTGGATTTAAGGCTGTGTGGAGATAAACTTTCTAACCAAAGCATGTTTTAAGAAGAGCGTGGAATGTATAAGAGCTTTGGAATGACGCAGTTAAAAATGCCGTCGCCATATTGGGAAGTTCTGTCAGAGGTCTTGAGTCTGGGAGGAGAAAGAGAGAAATAGAGCTGTTTATATATTGTGGGTGAAACTCCTCAGAGGGACTTAAGAGTGACAGTTTTGCGAGATTAATGATGGAAAGAGTGATGTTGTCAGAGCTGGCTCCAGGTCCCAGCTCACAGAGGACCAACGCTAGCCGGCAGTAATGTACAAAAGTCTTTATTGAAGTACAGTTTCCATTTTCAAGCCGCAGCGCCCCAGCTCTACGGCTAGGGGTTAGCTCGGCGTAGCTCCATCTGAGTCTCCGCCCCCTGTACCCCAGTTTAAGATTCTAGCCTTACTCCACCTCTTACGTCTCTCCTTTCTCCTCTGGGTCCTGCTACCCCCGGAGTCCCTTCCTTCCTGGATTCTTCTGACGCTGACCCCCTGCCTCCTCCCCCTCTTTTCGGCGGGCTTTGGGACCTGGCTCCCTATCCGGGCTGCCAACTGCGCCGCCCTCCTGTACATTTGAACTGGCGCGCGCGCCCAGCCTTCAACCTTCCTCTCGACCGTTTCCTCGCTCCCCGATGGAGGCGTGGCCAATCCTGACTCATGTCCTCCCACTGGCAGTGCGCCGCCTGATCCCGATGCCTGGGACTCCTCCCCTACTGCACTCTGGTGTGGACGCTGGTCCTGATTTCCAACTGCTGCTCTCTGAGTCCCCTCTGGCCCCTTCTTCCTGGGGTGTCCCCTCGGCACCCCCT